GAAAATAGCATGGCCACACAGAAGATGGGAAAATTGAAGACCTCACATCATCAACCACATTCCACGGAAGAGAACTTTTCACACAGAGAGCAGGTATGAGCTGGGAAGAAGGGTCTGGGGAAGATCATCCATCAGAGGACACACCCAACCTGCTAGGACTCCCTGTGGAAGGAGGGTTTAAATGTTTGTCCTCAGCTAATCGGGGGTATTTCAAGACCTTTTCAAGCTTTCAGAAAGACAGTTTTCATGAACAAATGTGCAAACTTTACTCAGTTGTATTTTTCATAGTTTATTCTTCTTCTCTAGGCAGCACTACAGTAGGATGCTCTCAGAATTCTCCCTGATCCTTCTTGAGCTCCTGGTGCAGGTCCTGGAGGAAAAGCCTGCATGGGAAGGGAGCCCTCCTCATGTGCAGGTCCTGGAAGAAAAGCCTGCATGGGAAGGGAGCCCTCCTCATGTGCAACCCTGAGGCTGTCACATCCCTCATCCACCATCACCCTGCAGTCACTTGGTAACCATCTCTGAGCTAATCTTACTGCAAAGTGTGGTTTTGGGCAGTATATTCACCAGGTGAGAAAACCCTTAAGCTCTGTTTGTTTCTGCATCCAAGTATCCCTTTCTGGAGCACAGGTTGGTTCTGATTGTGTGGTACTGGGTAATTAGTGGGAGGAGGTTTATGTGCATCTTGTCATCTCCCAGAGTGCACCCACCATGGGGGTGACACCCACAGGCAAGCAGATGGACTTGCACAGCTGGAAGATGACAAACATTTTCATAACCTATGACCTCAGTGCTGCTCTTTCCCTGTAAGATCAAGCATGATCATGCCTCTGGCTAATGTGCAGTCAGCAAGGGTGACCAGTGCCCACCCCTGTGAGGGCTCCTTCTGGGTGCCCACCCACTTTGTAAAGGGAAGCTTCTGTTCCTGCCTGGGTCCCATGCATGCGTTTGCATTTGCTGCATGAACCGCCTTATTCAGAACCATCACCCAAGAGCTTCCATTGTATCTAATGTAACTCCAGGACATCACACATGGAGTCTCTCATTGCCAGGGTCTGCAAATTTCAGTAAAGTATGTCCATTATGGGATTCATCAGAACTTACTGACCTTTTAAAGACATGAACCTGATGCTTAAAGCTTAAAAATCTTACTCTTTGGGAAGGGGCATTGTAAACCAGAAGTACAATAAGCTCTAAATTTATATGTGTACATATATCTATATATATATCTATATATCTATATATAGTGGATAATGAAAGAACGAGTTCAAATAGTAATAGCCTCACCCACTTCCCTCTAACAAATATCATTTCCAGAAAGCTACTGAAAAATCCTATGGTGCTCCGAGATAATTTAGGCTTGTTATATTAGGGGATCACCAGAAAAATAAAGAATTAAGTGTCCTTGTAGATTCATCCATTGTAACTTATTTGTGACTGAGGTGCAGGAAAGTTGTAGTGGAGAAGTCTCTGCCTATGTAGGGCAAGGACTCATGGGAATTCTCAAACCTTCCAAGCAATTTCATTGTAATTCTAAAACTGCTCTAAAACAGATTTTGTGATATGGAGTGACAAAAACATTTGAAAGAAATCTTTGTCACTATTTGTAGAGTCATACTTAGTCTTAAAACATGATCATGTAACCATGCTGCAAATTATTTATTCCTCTAATTTGAAACCTTGTTCATAGTACCACCTTCATGGAATGTTTGCATCAACTGTATTGAGTGTGGCCTTTCCCACTCTGTGAATTTGGTTTATATGATGATTATTGAATGGAATATTTCTCTTACAATTAGAGTATGTACTTGTTTCTATTGTTCTTTATTCTCAAATATATAACCCATTTTGTAAACAGCCTTGAACTTAATAACCACTTTTATCTCCTCAGCCCAGCACAGCTGCCTCCTCCCTCAGGGTTTCTGACACTCTCAGGATGTAGTTTTCACACTGTGTCTCTCGTACAGTAATACATGGTCCCGTGTCCAGATCTCAGGCTGCCCAGCTCCATGTAGGTTGTGCTTGTGGACATGTCCCTGGTCATGGTGACTCTGCCCTGAAACTTCTGTGCATAACCTGTGGCACCAGTGTTGGTGTTGATCCATCCCATCCACTCGAGCCCTTGTCCAGGGGCCTGTCGCACCCACTGCATGCCATAGCTGGCGAAGGTGTATCCGGAAGCCTTGCAGGAGACCTTCACTAAGGACCCAGGCTTCTTCACCTCAGCCCCAGACTGCACCAGCTGGACTTGGGAGTGGGCACCTGTGGGGAGGACACAGAAGTGGATAAAATCCTCTTTGACTGGACCAGGATCCCTTCCTCAGCTTTGGGACTAGGAAGCCCCTTACCTGTAGCTGCTGCCACCAAAAAGAGGATCCTCCAGGTCCAGTCCATGGTGATGAGCTCTGCCCACTGGGGCTTCTTTAGAGGAGGGATGTGGTTGTTGGGTGAGGCTTGCAGGGAACCAACACATCTATATTTATCTCAGAAGACCTCAGGTTGTTTGCATATTCATGAGGCACGGTATTTCACAGCTTAAAGCCTGATCTAGGACAAGAAGGAAAACACAGATGCCACCTCAGCCATACAAGAGTGGGATGCTGAGAGACCAAGCCCTAATCCTGCCTGAGGAAATGCATCCCCTGCCCTATGTCTAAGCTTTCTGTGGACAGCACTCGTCCCACTGAAGAACAAGCCCCACCCACCCCAGGATGTGCTCCTCACTGTGAACCCGCATTTTATTGGCATAGTGATTACCTGGATTGTATCTGGGACCATCACTGTCTCTGACATTGAGCAGGGACCTTGATTCCATCCTGGTCCCATTAGGAACAGTCACAGCTCACTGGTAACACTGAAAAGTGGCAAATAGTTATCCACATGAGTGTCCAGCAGGGCCCATGGACAGTTCTGAGATCTCCTGGGCACTCCCAAGACAGGGTCCCCAGCACCTGCCTGAGAGTCCTGAACTCCCAGGCCCTTCAATGGAAAGACTCTTGGTTTACAGGTTTGCCCTGTAATGTGTGATGGGTTCTGAGTTTTCCCTCCCAGAGAGAAGAAATCAGGATTTGAAATAGGAATAGGAATTTGATTTTTTTGATGACTTCATAGGTCCCCAAATAATTACCAAGTAATTTGCATTTTGAATAAGTTTGAGTTTTATTTCAAACTCCATTAAATATAATTATTTGAACTGTTTACATACTTTTAATTCATGTCCATAGATGTTCATCTTTCCATATTGATTTCTGATCCTCTTGGTCTGTGCACCTGCCACACTCTTGAATCCACCACTGCCAAGTCACACACACAACATAGGACACACTACTTAGCTCTGAAATACGAATATCTTATTCATTGGAATATAGTGTCTCCCACAGTTATGTACCTATTGAATTAATAAAACCATCCATATCTTTCATATTCTCACTATTAAGATAATTATTATCCTAGAATCCCACTTTTACATATAGTTCTCATTGCTTTATTAAGTAATATAAATGGTCCAGATAAAAAAGGATATTTAAATGCATATTAGCAACTTGTGTACACTTATTTAGAATGATTTTTTTGAATAAGGAAGACTCAAGCCCTAAGAGAATATTTCTCACTATTTATCTCCCACAAATAAGTGGAGGCTTCCTCTTTTTTCTGTTCCTACATTCGTTTGCTAAGAGTAATGACCTCCAGTTCCATCATGTTCCTTCAAGGGACATAATTTCTTTCTTTTCTTAGCTGCATAGTAGTCCATGGTTATATGGACCACATTTTTCTCTATCCATTCTGCCAGTGATGAGCATTTAGGTGAATTCCATGACTATGATATTGTGAATAGTGCTGCAATGAACCTACATGTTTATATTCCTTTAGGCATATGTCCAGCTGTGGGTTTGTTGGGTCAAATGAAACTTCTGTTTTAGGTTATTTGAGAGATCACCACACTGGTTTCTACAATGGCTGAACTGTAGAAAGTTTATATTCCCACCAGAAGTGTGTGAATGTTCCCTTTTTCTCCTGCAACCTTAGCAGCATATGTTATTTATTTTCTTAATTAGCCATTCTGACTGACGTGAGATGGTACCTCACTACAGTTTTGATATGTGTTTCTCTAACAATAGTGATATTCAGCATTTTTTCTTATGCTTGTTGGCCACATGTAGGTCTTTTTTTAAAGTGTCCTTTTATGCTTTATGGTCACTTTTCTTCTTGTATGTTTGTTTAAGTTCTATTTAGGTTTTAAATATTAGACCTTTGTCAGATGTACAGGTTTCAAATATTTTATTTCCCATTCTATAGGTTTCCTGTTTACTCTGTTCATAGTATCTTTTACTATACAGAAGCTCTTCAGTTTACTTAGATCCCATTTGTCAATTTTTGATTTTGGTTAAATTGCTTCTAGCATTTTCATCATAAAGTCTTTGCCAGTTCTTGTGTCCTAAATTGTATTTCCTAGTTATTATCCAGAGCTTTTATAGTTTTAGGTTTTACATTTAGATCTTTAATCCACATATATTTTTTCAATTGATGCTGAAAAAGCATTTGATGAAACTAAACATCCTTTCATGAAAAAGAAAATCCTGAAAACATGGGTATAGAAAGAACACATCTCGACATAATAAAAGTTATATTCGAGAGACTTTCATGTAGTATCATATGGAATGATAAATAAATAAAAGTCTTTCCTCTTAGATCTGGAAAAGGACAAATTTCCCACTTCAACTGGTGAAGCATAAACCCTTCTGCTGCCACCATAGGCTGCTCTTACCTGCAAGCACCGCCTACTGGCCAGACGGTGAAACTGCACGACCTGATACAGAGTCACCACCACCACTGCACAGCACATGAAAATGAGATTCGCGTCTCAGTACTTCTGTGATTCCAGCTCCGCGGAAGACCATGGGCCTGCTCACATGCCCAGTATATTACTACTACTACTGGAATTTGAAAAAGCCACCACGCTAAAGCTATTAATACAAAAGAAATCATGCAAAGTAGATGATCCTCACCTGGCCATTTCCAACAAGGCTGCTGCTTTTGCTTGTCAGGCTTGGTGGCTCACATCTGTCCAGCTTTGTCCCTCTCTCAGGGGCTGAGCAGAGAACTCAGGTTACTGTACACTGTGCAATAGAGCAGTCCATTGCCTGAGGCAACAAAGAACTTCTCCCTGTGCACAGTTATCAGGCATGTACTCATCTACTTCCACCACAGTCAGCTAGAATCTGCAAGGCCACCTACTAACTTGAAGGGTGAACTGAATAACCCAATACAAAATCAGCTGAGGCAAATGCATTACAAATGAGAAACAGTTCCTGAGGCCTCCACTATCTAGGACCTGAAGGAGGCCCGGTGACAACCGCCACACTGTGGATAATTGTAATTCTAAATTCTTAGAATTATTAGAATAATTATGTAGGTTGAAATTATTTCAGTATCAGGAATATATAACAGTTTTGCTATAACACCAGTGAGAAAAATTTGTGGAGTGTTCCGTGTGGACCAAAAATGCGAAGGTGATAAAGTAACAATTATATTTGAATAATCCGGAGATACGACGTGTATTTGATATTCATCTCCTTCTATATTTCAATGAAGAGAAAATGGATGGATGACATCTTCATGTGAAATGGGACACAGAGTTTTTAAGATGATTCTCAAAGAAAGTTGCTAACACAATTACTCATTTGATGTCCCTACACAGGGCTGTGGAGGGGATGGCGGCTGCCGATGGTCACTGGCAACCACAGGGTTGGTTTTTTGGCCACTATTTTGTCCATGAGAGACATTGGGCTGTCGTGTACTACATGCAGGCGAGTTTCTAAAGCTCAGATGAGGAGAGAAACGTGAGAACACAGAAGACGGGAAAATTGAAGATCTCACTACCTCAACCACATTCTGCTGAGAAGAACTTGCCACTGAGAGATCGGGATATGCAGGGAGTAGAGAGGAGTTTGGGGAATATTATCCATGAAAGAACAGATCCAACCTAGTCGACCTCCCCATGGAAGGAGGGTTTAAATGTTTGTTCACAGATAATGGTGGCTGATATCAAGATTCCCACAGGTTTCAGAAATAGTCTCTATTAACAAATGCTCTATTTTGTTTAGAATTGATTGCTTTTGTGTACTTTATCTTCCCCCTTTAGGCAGCATCACAGAAGAATGCTCTCAGAGTACTTCCTGATCCTGTATGAGTTCCTGGTGCAGGTCCTGGAGGAAAAGCCTGCATGGGGGAGGGAGCCCTCCTCAGGTGCGGCCCTGAGGCTGTCACGTCACCTCACCCACCACTGCCCTTCAGCCACTTCATGAATATTTATGAGTTAACCTTCCTGAAACATGCGGTATGTGGTAGTGTCTTTCCCAGGTAAGACAATACTTACATTCTGTTTATCCCTGCAGGCGCCTGTCCCTTTCTGGAGCACAGGTTGCAGCTGAGTGTGTGGTAGTGGATAATTAGTGGGAGGTTTGTGTGCATCTTGTCATCTTCCAGAGTGCACCCATCATGGGGTTGACACTGACAAGCAGGCAGATGGGCTTGCTCAGCTGGAGGATGACAGGCATTTTTGTAACCCGTGACCCCATTGAGGCGCTCTTGCTGCAAGATCAATCAGGCTGAGGTCTCTGGCTGAAGTGCAGCCAGCAAGGGGTCCAGTGCGCAACCCTGAGGGCTCCTTCCAGGTGCCAAACCACTTTGTAAGGGAAGCTTTGTTCCTGCCTGGATCCTATGCATGTGTTTGCATTTTCTGCACAAAGAGCTTTATCTAGAAACACGCCAAGAGCTTATAGTGTTTGGAATCCAACTGAAGGGAATTATTCCCAAAGCCTCTCATGACCAAAGTCTCCACTGCTCATCAAACGACATTAATTATGGGTTTCACTAGAAGCAGGCCTGCCTCTACACCATTGGTCCCTAACGCTTTTGGCACCAGGTAACAGTTTCATGGAAGACAATTTTTCCATGGATGATGATGGTGGGTGGTTATGGGATAAACCTGTTCCATCTACATTCATGAGGTATTAAATTCTCATAGGAAGCACTCAGCCTAGATCCCTTGCATGTGCAGTTCACAATAGAATACAGCTCCTAGGAGAATCTAATGCACAAGTGATCTGACAGCAGGGGGAGCCCAGGCAATGACGCTCACAGGCTCCCACTCACCTCCTGCTATGCAGCCCGGTTCCTAACAGGCTGCACACCTTAAGGAGTCCACAGCCTGGGTTTTGGCAACTCCTTCTGTAAATGCCTGCAGACCTTACCCTCTGGGAAGGGACACAGGAAACCAGGAGAAAGAGGATCCCCAAGTCAATGCGCATTTTTTGGACCCTTGAGGAAAGAGTGTGAAGGGGAATGGCCCACCCATTTTCCCTCTGCCTGGCATCATTACCAGTAACCCAGATGGGGAATCTGGGATGCTTCAAGATAATTGGGGCTTGTTGCACCAGGGACCACCAGAAAAGGAAACAGCCAATGTGTCTGTGTAGATTCATCTCCTGTAACTGCTTTATGACTCTGTTGCAGGGTGTTGATAGCAGGGAAGGCTGAGCACGTGTGGGGCAGGAGTACACGGGAACTTTGCTTCTTCTCTTCAGCTCTGCTGTGATCCTAAAACTGCTATAAAATGAATTCAATGTAAAAGGAGGAGCTAAGACATTTTGGAAAAATTTGGCCACATCTTAATTATATTTAGTCTTACCATGTGATGCAGCAATCTTGTTCCTAATGATTTATACATTTGATTTTAAACCCTATGCCCCACAAAGCCTCCAGGGGAATGTTTGCATCAGCTTGATTGATTGCTGCCTTTCCCACTCTGTGAGTGTTACTTACAGTGTGGCAGTTGAAATACTGTTGCTATACAATCAGAGTGTACACATCCTTCTATTGCTTCTTTTCATTCATAACTTAACCCATTTTCTAAACACGTTTAAACCTTATACGTCCTATCATCTCTTCAGCCCCAGCACAGCTGCCTCCTCCCTGGGGTTTCTGACACTCTCAGGATGTGGGTTTTCACACTGTGTCTCTCGCACAGTAATACACAGCCGTGTCCTCAGATCTCAGGCTGCTCAGCTCCATGTAGGCTGTGCTCGTGGACGTGTCTGCGGTCATGGTGACTCTGCCCTGGAAATTCTGTGCGTATCTTGTATTACCATTTTCAGGATCAATACGTCCCATCCACTCAAGCCCTTGTCCAGGGGCCTGTCGCACCCAGCTCATGTAGTAGTTGGTGAAGGTGTATCCAGAAGCCTTGCAGGAGACCTTCACGGAGGCCCCAGGCTTCTTCACCTCAGCCCCTGACTGCACCAGCTGCACTTGAGAGTGGGCACCTGTGGAGAGAATACAGGAGTGGGTGAGATCTCACCTGACTGGACCCAGTTCCTACATCAGCCCTGGAACTGAGGGTTCTTTTACCTGTAGCTGCTGCCACCAAGAGGAGGACCCTCCAGGACGAGTCCATGGTGAGGTGCTGTGCTCTGGGGTTTCTGTAGGGGAGGGATGTGGTTGTTGTGTGATGCTCTCCGGGCAAGGACAGATCTGTATTTACTTCGGTAGACACCAGTGAATTTGCATATTCATGAGGCAGATATTTCATAGCTCAAGCCACCCCACCCTGAGGAAGAGGAGAGGTGGCACCTGGACCACACCACAGTGGGATGCTGAGCTACCTGCTCTGAACTTTGTTTAATGATATTTGTCCTCTGGTGTGCTCAGAAGTCCATGAAGACAGAATCCCTCTCACAGAAACCCAGAGTCTCACAGAGCATGGTCCTCAGTGTGATTCCTTGTTCCTATGGTACACTGGCAACCTGAGCTTTTCCTGGGCCGTGCCCTCTGCACATCTAACTTCTGGGATAAGTGTGTCTCCCGATAATAACACCCATTGAATTAATAAAACCACCCCTCAATTCCTAACTATAATTACATTTGAAAGGCCTAGACATTTCTCCTTTGAAGTGTGGTTTGCTAAATTATTGGGTTAGGTATAGGCTGTATATGCAAGAGAATACCTAAAGACATATCAGTACTTACTAAATTCTTATTTAAATTTTATGTCATTATTGCTTTGAAAGAAGGAATATTCAATCCCAGAGGGAAAAAACCCTCCCCTCCTACTGTGCACCTGCTCCAGGGCTGGATCCTTGGCTGGGTGTGTACTGAGTGTCCCCCGCAGCTCAGCTCCTGCCCTGCAGGGAAGTTCCTGTCTGGGCTCACAGAGAAGTCTCCTCCCAGCATCTCAAGCCCAGTCTGAAGTGGCTGTTCCCTGTCTCAGGATGCTCCTTCCATCACAGAAATTGCTTCTCACACCACCTCTTACAATAGGAAATAGGCCTTAGAAAACCTAACAGAATCTACAGGGTCACCTTAGCACAGCAAGCAAGGAGTTCAATTTCCAGAAAATATACTGCTCCCCTGCCCACCACATCATCTCCTTACCAATATGATTAATCTAGATTAAAGAGAAAAGTGTGGCAAAGCACAGACTGTCTTGGGACTAGAACTTAGGGAAACAGCTTCGCTGGAGCTCCAAATGCACTGATATGATACAGGCATACGGCAAGTCCAGGAACTGATGGGGACTTTGGGGCAGACACATTGTTTTAGGATTCTTTGGTAAAAAATCACATCATAGTTTAACTTTACTCACAGACCCTATGTCTCAAAGGCCCCCCCACACAATCACAGTGCCATATATCACAGTAACGAGCCTCAAATTTGCCCTCCTTTCTAGGCTGTGGCCGAAGAAAAGTGCTTCTGGTCGGGCACAGTGACTCATGCCTGTAATCCTGGTACTTTGGGAGGCCGAGGTGGGCAGATCACGAGGTCAGAATATCGAGAACATCGTGCTAACATGGTGAAACCTCATTTCTATTAAATATATAAAAATTAGCTAGGGGTGGTGGCGTGTGTGTAGTCCCAGGTACTCAGGAGGCTGAGGGACGAGAATTGCTTTAACATGGGATGCAGAAGTTGCAGTGAGCTGAGATCATACCACTGCACTCCAGCCTGGGTGACAGAGCAAGACTCTGCCTCAAAAAAAAAGTGCTTCCAAAACTGAGCTTAGTCCTGGTTACATTTGTGGTTGTTGTTGTTGTTTTGTTTTTCCAAACAGAGCTAAAGCAAACTCAGTACTGCTGGAGATTTGGAAAGTGTCTTAACCTTGTGTTTGCCCCTTCTCACCCGGGAATCCTGCAGATGCCCCATGAGAGGTAAATCTAAGGCCATTGAGGGAGGGGCCATGATCTTGGTCCTGAAGCTCTTGGTCTCAGAGGGTTTAAATCCCTTCACTGTTCTTGACTTGTTGTCTCCCGCTGCCTTTGGTTTCCGTAAATTCTAGTCCTCAGGCAGAGTCTTCATTGCCACACTTTTCTCTTTAATCCAAATTAATCACATTGGTGAGGAGGTGATATGATAGGCAGGGGAGCAGGATATGTTCTGGAAATTGAATTCCAATGTTTTCTTGCTGTTTCTTCTCTATGCTGCACCCTTTATGAGGGGTCTCTAGTGGTTCAGCTGATTTTCCTCCATTCTCTACTCCCCCTCCTGGCTGCAGCATCCACAGATTATTTTCTTGAATCTGACCCCAGTTGTTTTATTAATTGTACCCCTTTTCATGACACAGAAACTCTAAGATGAAACTGTCTGTGATGAAGAAGAATCCCTTGCCTCACATAGAATAGAGACCTTGAAAAGTATTTTTTCTCTGTAGGGTCTGTCTGGAGAAAGATCTGGGCACATTTATCAGGAAGAGGTTTCCTGGTGAACAGAGCCATGAGGGAATCTGTTTGGATTCCCATCTTGTGAACCTAGTAGTTTCTGGAGGGAAATTCCATGAAAGTGTGTGGGATGTGCAATCCCTAGGAGTTATTACCCTATTCCTGGCCACACCTGTTCTCTAGGCATTTCTGGAATTACCATGGAACTGTCCCACCAGCTTGTGCTGTCAACTGAGGAATCACTCAACTCATAAATTTAGAATGGAAACTTTATTTCTGTTAAAGCGTTGAAGCTGCAGAACAGCCAACTTAACAGGCTGGGAAACAAAACCTCTGACAGTGACAGTGATTAGGCACTTCAAGAGAGGGAGAGATGAGAAATGAAGTTATGCAAATGGATTGACCAAGTGTACACACTCAGCAGGCTGTAGAAGGAACTATGGATATTCATGTGGCAGGCAGGCTCTCATGTGTAATAGGAAGACACACCCATTACATGTATTTCATGTTTGTTTTGGGGTGAGGACTTAAAACTAAGTGAATTACAGTGAGACCTTGTACATCAAAAGGGCTTTGTGCAGGGGCAGAAAGACACACAGTGCACAGCCTTCAAAAATTGGCCAGGACAATCCATGGTCAGTGTTCTCTTATCAGGAGAAATTTACTGAAATCAGTCTCTTGTCCAATCAAAGCTCTATTTATGGCTGTGAAACAGGGGCACAGTTACCCCATGTCTGGAGTTCCATGAGCTATAAATGTTTTAATACTGCTTATATCAGAACCAGTGCTTGTACAGCTGCTAGAGAAAAATAAAAATCCCTGTGGAAGTTACAACATAGCCTATTATTTAAGTGTAGGGGTGAATGACTTAATCCTTGCCTGGCATGGCCTTAGGTATTGTTTATGATTTGGTATTTTTTTGCCACAGAAAGTTTGTTCCACCAGTCTGATGACCTTCATTTTAATGTCTTCCTAGTTTTTGGGTCCTGGTTTCCTTTGCAGTTTCATTTATTCAACAGATCTAATAAATCATTGATAATTTTCCAGGCTTGTATTATTGTAAGAATGTGGGTGATGAGTGACATGCTCTTTACATATTAAAGCAAAAACCAGGAGTAGTTTCAGAGATCACCATTGACCTGACACAGCAGCAGGAATCTCATCTCATTAAGTGTAAGTGGCACCACATGGATGTAGCTAAACATGCAGTGACACAGAAGACCCACTCCACAGGACACATATGAGAAGTTTTTATGATCCTGAGGCTCTTCCCAGGAAGCTGGACGTCAGCTGGTAATACAGGGATGGACTCAGTTACCTGTCAGGCGATACTGTGTTTTGGAAGCTTATTCCGACTCCTGCACTGGATTTGGTAGCTGCACCTGGACCCGCACACCTAAAACAGAAACTCTTACTAATTAACTAAGACCCACCACTAAGGAAGCTGTCCCAGGGAAGGGGCAGAGCAGGGGCCTCTGCTTTGGAGCCTGCAGCTGTGCAGGGAGGGTCGGGAGTGTGACTCGTTTCCTTCTGCTCCCCCTGCCGGCTGCACAGAAAACTGCAACCAGGAGCTTCACATGGCTAAGTACATAAAATACGGGATAGTTCTCCGGAAATGTAACACACACGTGACGAAGTGAGGAACCTACCTAAAATTTAAATAAAACAAATGTACTAAATAAATATAAAACACTATAAGAGATTGTCATGGAAAACACAACAAATATTAAAAACCTTTATGTGTATGTGTGTGAGATGTTATTCTTGGAAATTAAATCATAATTTGCTCATAAAAGAGGATCTAGGATTTCTCCAGAATCTCCTTCCTCGTCTATCCCAGCACCTGCTCCTCAGTGTGCTCCTTCCTGCCTGAGTCCTGAGCAGCTCTATAGGCCTGGACAATGCACGTCTGGGCATCTGATTCCTACATGTGCATCCACAGGGTGGGCTGCTGTCTCTAATGGTTGAGTGAGAGCTGGGCCAGGATCCACAAAGGTGGCCCCACCCTGAACACTGGGCTTCCTCCCAGCAAGGAGGCAGGGTCAGCTGAGTGTCCCCTATTTCACAGAACTGCTAGGAGGCAATTTTAGTCAAATTCCAACGTACTTTGACTATGCAATACAGCAATCGTGCTTTTAAGTGTTCATTTATCTGAATTTAAAAGTATGTCCATGAGGAAAACTGCACATGAATAATTACAATAGCTTCATTCACATTATCCCCAAATTATAAACATTCAAAAAATTCTTCTGTAGGTTAATAAGCAATCTGTAGTAAACTCACATAATGGGATAATATGGCCATTTTAAAGAAGAGCTATCAAACTATGAAAACATATGAATGAATCTAAATGTATGTTGTTAAATCTGATAAAACTACATAATATATTATTTATTTGCTAATCTGGAGAAGGCTAAACATTAAACAAAGTTTGTATTTGCCAGGAATTTTGTATTTGCCAGGAATCTGGCAAGAAGGTAGTTTGAATGGGTAAAAAGTAGAAGGCTTTAAAGGATGACAAAACTATTAAGTATAATATTGCAATGGTAGGTATGTGATCTCATGAATTTGTCAAAACCCACAGACTATACAGCATGAAGGCTAGATCTTACTTTACAAAAATTAAAAGTGAGTAAGAGATTATGGACCTAAAGATGAAATGCACAGGCTAGACAGAAAATATTTGATGTCTTTCCAAATGTAGGAAACAACTTTACCAAATAAAAAGAGCTGTTAAATAGCTTTAGAAATAATAAAGTCCATAAGACTGAAAAATAAAGACACTGCACATCAGCACTGTCCTGTAGTTGATGATGATGTTCCACAAAGGAGCACAGCTTACCAACTGTGTTTCCACACTACAGGAATCCTAGAATTAAACAAAAAATGGAACAGGTGTTGTGTGTTGGGAGGGGGTTCTCACAGCCAGAGTGGGAGCTTACAGACAGCGAGGAAGAAGAGTGAGAAATGCCCACATAGTATTGGATTAGGGCAAACGTGCTAGTAAGTTTTGCATATTTGGCACAATATGCATACAACAAATTAGATGAAAATATTTCATTGAAGAAAGTGGAAAATAGGCTCTGATCTAAATAACTTTGGAAATGAGGGAATTCTGAAAGTCTATACTGTAAGTTAACTTTAACTGCACAAAAGCACTGTACTCTAGTAGGTAAAAATGTTTCCAACCGGGGTACAGCTTCACAGTTTTTCTACTGCTGTGCATGGTTCCTGAAATTGTGCAGAAATGTAATACAACGTCAATGGTGGGATGGGGTTCCTCACTTTTTGAGGTGGGTGGTGATTGGCAGGCAAGGCAGTCAAGCTAGAAATGTTCATGTGGTATCTTTGTTGGGTAGAGATATAAGCGTGTTCTCATTTTGAATGTAATGTAAGTTCACAAGATTAGATAAGATTAGATATATAAATAGTTTAGATGTGACTGTAAACATGGGTTAATATACACATTCACATTTTCTAGGCCAGTTAGTTGAGAGGTCCTAGAAGTAATTATAGCCCATTAACCACACATACACCCAACTTAACAATTTTCTATTTTAATACTATTCTTCAAGGTCAGAAGGCGGCAATCCCTAGAAAAAATGACTGATTCTATGCATGAAAAAGATAATACAGAAAATGAGCTTAGAATTTCTTCTAATACTGGGAATTAGTAAAGTGTTCAAAAGGAAAGGAAAGGATATCCTGTAAGGACACAGGATCCTAATTAAATGAAGTCCCAGCTTTTGTATTGAAAAAGCTGTGGT